AGATCCAAGAACAGCTGAGTCTCAAGTCGTCCCACGCCCCAGACATCAAGATTTCTGATAAAGCTATAGCATTAACAATTATGACAGTCTGGTACCTACACAGAGATGGACAAGTGGCACAAAAAGGTGAGCCAGAAACAAACCTACGCATATCGAAACTAAAGTTGTAGCAGAAGTGGTCCGGCACATCACTGGTGAACAGAGGGCTGATGCAGTAGATGGTATGAGGCAACTGTAGCCACTTAGGGGGAAAAAGTGAATGCACATCACCATCTCACACTATACATAAAACTCAATACCAAATGGATTATGAAATTAAATGTGAAAATATTCCTTTTAAAACTTCTAAAAAGAAACACAGGAGAATGTCTTTATAATCATAGGGCTAAGGAAAGTTTCCAATGAATTACATTAAAATTAAGAACTTCTGTTTGCCACAATACACCACGAAGAGTAAAAAGACAGGCCATGAACTAGAAGAAGGTATTCACAGTGCATATAATCAATAAAGGATAAGTGTTACCAGTTTATTAGTTTTAAAGGACAACACAATAGAAAAATAGGAAAAGTTATGACCAGGTTATTTCACAAAAGGAAAACATGGTTCATAAACATATGAAAAGACGTTCAAACTGATTAACAATCAAAGAAATGCAAATTAAAACCACAATGATACATCATTTCATATCCATTTGATTGGCAAATTATTAAGAAATCTGCTGGTAAGTGTTGGAGAGGATATAGATCAACTATAACGTTTACACACTACTAATCAAAGTATATAAATGGACAAACCTGCTGACCAAAGTATAAGCTGGTATAACCACTTCAGAAAACAATTCGGTGTATTTTTGTAAAGTTGAACATTTATACTCCATAACCTAGCAATCCCACTTCTAGCAAATCGCTTACCACAGTGGTATTCCAATCCTTTTTATTCACAAACCACCAAAACCCTTTTAAAAATTACATACTCTTTACACTTTAAGATGGCATCTAAAAAATATCAGCCTGAGATTAAATAATCGCAAAGGATGAATGTCCAGAGTGTCACAGTGACGTTTTAAAGTAAAACTGACATATCATTGGTTTAAATTGTTATAATTATTATAACATAGAGTTGATCAAAAAATAACTACATAGGCTGATAATTAAACATAAAAAGTGAGGGGTTTTTTTTGTTGTTTTTTTTGGAAATGCAGCTCTTGAGGAGATGGGCAAGTACTTAGATTAAAAAAGGCTCCTAACACTATACATTGTATTTTAAATTATCCCTTTGTTTTCTGTGGAGAGTTTTTCCCCCTGGGGCAATGCCCTAGTAGGTGTCCATGTAGGTGAGGGGTATGTCTTCCCTCTCTAAGGTAGACCTGCTACTGTGAAAGGGAAGGTGGGAAAGTGGAACCAGAAGGAGGCCTGAGCCATTACCAACTTTAGAGAGTACACATGGAACCTAAGGATCTATAAATTGATTGATTCATTAGTATCACTGGTGCCCAAGTACACCCCAGAAAAATTATTACTCCCCTGGGGGTCATATATCCAGTGTGAAAATTAAAGAAATTCTTGCAACTGTGTACCAGAAGATATGTACAATAATCTTCGTAATACCAAAACCTAGAAATCACCAAAATGTTCATGAACAGGAGAATGCATACACTGTGTTATATTCACCAGTGGAATATTACACAGCAGAGAAAATTAATGACTTACATCTATAGTCAGTATCAGTGATTCTTAGAAACATAATGCTGAATGAAATAAGCAAGTTCCAGAAAACCGTGTCCAGTATTTTTTTTTTAAAACGTAAAAAACAACAGAAAGCATATAGTACATTGTTGAGGGATGTATACATATCTGATAAAACTGTTTTTAAAAGCAAGGAATGACACACACAATTCAGGACAGTAGTCACTCTGGAAGTGAGCACATTCAATACTGGTCATTTTGATTCTTGGATTGAGTAGTGGATTGACAGATGTTCATTTTATTGTTTTGCTTCACAACTTGCATATACGTTACATGTATTTTGAGCGTATCAAATATTACATTAAATAAAGAGAAAAATATTTTTAAAAACCATTCATCATATGAAAAAAAGTATTTAATTAAATCACCTCACCTGCCACTAGAGGTACATATACCATAAAAACTACTATCTTTACATCAACCATAGGAACTAACATATATTAGGTACAAAATAAGTGTCTATTAGAATTAATCTTATGAGGATCAAATGAGATAAAAACCGAGCCAGTTAGCTGTAAGAGATGAACCCATAGGCTGACACCCAGCTAGAGCAGAAGCAAAATTAAGCTGCAAGCTCAAGTTATAAGGAAGCTGGTCAGTAAAGAGAAGGCAAAAATGTAAAAGTCTGATAGCATAAACTGTTAGCAAGGTGTGAGGAAATGGGTCTCCTCATTCAGTACCAGTGACAGTGAAAATTAGTACAACCACGACGAGAGCTTCCGTGATATTTGGTTAAGTTGAAGATACACATATCCTACTCTAGCAAATCTACTCGGTGTATTTCCTAGAGAAACTTCCAAATGTATGCACAAACAGACAAGTACAAAGATATTTATTGCAGGATTGTTTTTAGAATAAAACACCAGAAACAACTTCAAAGTCCATCAATAGGGAAATGGATAAATTATGGTATATTCATACAATGGAATTCTATACCAGCAATTAAAATTAATGAACCAAAGATAACAATTATTCCATTTATTTGTATATAAATCTCAAAATATAATGCTGATCGAAAAAAACAAGTTGCAAAAATCACACTGTTTCATACCATTAGTTGAAAAAAAACACAACACTATATTATTGTTTCTGGATTCACCGTGATCCAAGTATAAAATACGCAAGGGAATGAATGATATACACAAACCTGAACATGGTGGCTACCTCTAGGGACCTCTAGAGGAGGGGGAGGAACTGAGAGCACCTCCAATATCTGCAATTTTATTTCTTAAAAAAGAAAAGGGGATCTTAAGTAATTTTGGCAAAATCATTACATGTCAATCTGAGTTGTGGATTGGTTAGATGCCCCTCTGTATTGTATATATGAAATATTCCAGAAATTAAAAAAAGGAAAATTAGGCAAGAGTAAGAAAACTGAGCAAATGAACAGAGAGAAACAGACACCAAAACGCAGCCCCTGAGCGCAAAGCAAAGCACGAACCTTTGAGCAAAAGGAGTAATTTGGTCCCTAATGAGTTTCTTTCCCTATGTATCCTTATAAAGAATCCCATTTCCCTCAGGATAAAATGCAAATTTCTTCCAATAAAAAAAAAATGTCCTAACTAGAGCTGTAACTATGAGGAAACTGCTCCCGGAGAGGAGGAGTAAAATCAGTAAAATGTCTACCTTGTGCCCCTCGCCTGGATGTTGGCAGAATCAACAGAGGTGATTTATGGGAACGCCATAAAACACTATATGAACCGTTCAGTATGAGCAAGAACGCCAGGGTCTGCTGGAATGTATTGCGCAGTTGGTGCGTGCTTATATTTTTGGAGGAATCTTCAATCAAAGGGCTTTGGGCATCTAGGGCGCCTCTGGAAACAGCACGCCGCACTGGTACCAGCCCAAATTCACCTACGCCTCGGCTCGATTTTTGGTCCTTGTCCCCACCTTCTGAACAGGCTGGCTCCACAGGCCACAAGTGACAACGTAAACACTACGCAGCAGCTGGCTAGCCCCGCTGCGGTCCTCCCTTCTCCACCCTCAGCCTCGAGGGGCGGGAGGATGCTCCGAAGAGGCGCGGGGGAGGGGCGAG